ATGAATATTGGAAGTGATCCGAACTCTCTTTTGAATACTTTGCATTTTTCTCCTCTTTTTATATTAGCAGAATTTTCGCTATAAAATTTTACTCGAATTTCTCGTAACAAACAAATATTATTATCTGAGATTGCTCATTGATAATGTAACCTTTTAATAAATTAAAAATGATACCAAGAGTAACTGGGTTTCGATGAATCCCCTGAGGTAACATTGTTGGAGAGACCTTCATTTGGTATGAAGGTGCATGGAGAAGAGATTTGTAGACTGATCTCACCAGAAGACGACGGTTAAATTCCGTTTTACTGCAGCCGTTTGGATTTAATACGACATTCAGGTTAAAGTAGTCCACAAGACATCCTCCCTCGCTTCGGGTGAAAACGAGCTGAGCTTGCGTCCATCATATGGTGGACATCATCAGAGCTGGAACCAATTCTTGTAAATGTATCACGATAATATCAGGTTAAGAAAACTATTCTGCTCTTTCCTACCTATTATATATATTCATGACTGAAAACAAAAGTGAAGAGGCAAATATAGATATAAGATCGTTTGACTAATTATCCTTCATACTGGTCCTGCTACTTTTGTTAGAATATGTTTAGCAAAAAGTAGCATGACCAGCTAAACCATCCTATATCTATAAATGCCTATTTATTTTCGTTTTTAGCTACGAGTATATATAAGAGGTAAGATGGAGTCAGACAATTTTATAGACCTGGTGTTAACATGAGACTTTTACAAGAATGAGTTCCATCTCTGATGATGTTCATCATATGATGGACGCAAGCTCAGCCCATTTTCACACGAAGCGAGGAACAATGCCTCGCGGACTGCTTCAACCTGAATGTGGTATTAAAGCCATACGGCTGCAGTACAACGGAATCCAGCCGTGGTCTTCTGGTGAGATCAGCCTACGAATCTCTTCTTCATGCACCTTCATACCAAATGATGGTCTCCCCAACAATGTTACCTCAGGGGAGTCATCGAAACCCACTTACTCTTCGTATCATTTATTAATATATTAACCTATTGAAAGGTTACACTATCAATAGCTTGAGTATGAGGGGATATTATAGTGAACCTACTCGTGAGCAATCTAAGATAATCATATTAGTTAGTTACGAGAAATTCTAGTACAATTTTACAACGAAAATTCTTGATAGGTTGCCCATATGAAAAGATGAGAAAAATGCGTGGCATTCTTCCAAGTTTGTGCTTTGGAGGAGCAGCAAAAAGGCAAGAATAGACGGACAGGATAGGTCTAACTCATATATGAATCGTCTAATTACACACTAGGCTTGCTAACAAGTCATGGTGAAACGCACATCTTGTATAGTCGAATGATCGGTTGGCAGAAGGCTGACAGGTCTGGTGTCTAAAGTGGGTTTGATATTTGGGCTCGAGATGGGCTTCTGCTGCGTCCGAGGGGGGACTTTAAGCGGACTGTTGTGACGATGTGTGTGCCGAGAACGTAGGGCGGGTCGGACGTGGCTAGAGTTAGCACCAGGAGACCGCTGCGTATCAGCTATCAACTGAGACGGAGGGCGTGAATGGAGAAATGGTGATGAGTTGAAGGCACTAACAGCAGCCGACGGAGATGCTCTACTGGCGGCCAAGTGAGCAGAATGGCCAAAGAGCGCATTGTCGACTAGGAATTGAGACCATGGCTTGGGGGCGTGAGAAATAGGCGGCGGAACTCGTGGTCGAAATATTGGCCTATGGAAGTCAATTGAAAATAGAAACAAAAGAGGATGACAGAAAGAGATAAAGAGCAGAAATAGGGATAAAAGCAGAAAAGGCAAAAATGGAAATAAGTCAAGCGGCGAATGTGATGAAATGGTGCAGAAAGCAGAAAACATAAATAATTGATTCAAATAGGCATAATGAGAGCTGAAAACAATTAACACTTAATATGAACTGCAGGGATCAAATTAATAGATCCGGCTTTACCTGGTTTCCGCAAATTGGTAATACCGCTTCTTCGCTCATCGCTGTTTCGAACTCTTCCAGCAGTGAATCAGTGGAAGGATACATTTCTAGGCGTGTCGCCAGCAACGTAGTCGGTAGCACCAACCTTAACAACGAGTTATGCTAACCCTGCAAAGTGACTTTGCGTTATACTCAAGAACTTTCTCACATGAGTGGATACGGATTTTTGATAGAACGTGTAAATGGTTTTGTCGAGCAAGGCGCCAAAACTGTGATTTTCAAGTTTTCCGTAAGTTTAAGTCCTTTTGTGTCCAAAACCCCTACTTTACCAGAAGTAAACCCATCCCTGAATCTCTCCTCAGCTCACCACTTGCAATAAATTAAAAATCATTCTCTTGTCCTCTAGCGTGTCCGAATCCCTTATCATTTCCGTCTACCTTAATTTAGTGGTGCAGTGTATTCATTTTGGTGTATGTATTTGGGTTAGTGGATCTCATGGACCAGTGTCAACTTCAGTGGCCAATCTCATGATTAAAAGAGTGTGTTGCGAGCCAATTGAGATTATATTTCAAGTCTCTGCTGCAACGCTTGAGTGGAGGTGTGATATATCTGGAATCCGAATTTCACATCCTAAATGGCAGCTACCTAGGACGGTTATGAGTACTCGTCTCTGTATTCCCCAGTCTTACCCTCCGGATTTCAGTGGTAGGACCTAGGTCATTCGCTGTTAACGTCTTCTCATGACTTCATCCTCTGCCCCGAAAGCTTCTTATTTGCAGTGGCTTTTCCGAC